TCTCTTGACCATTGGTGTAATAGAACCAAAAACCACCTCTTTATTTTTTGTAATAAAGTAACAGTTATAGGTATTCATATTTATAATATCAAAAGTATTTATTAATCTGGAACAACGGAACCAAAGCGCGATTCAGGAGACTACAGCGCCATCTCTTGACCATTGGTGTAGTAGAACCAAAAACCACATCTTTATTTTTTGTAATAAAGTAACAGTTATAGGTATTCATGTTTATAATATTTATCCACATGTTTCTAGTTTCCTTTTGTCTTCTGTGTCCTTTTCCAGACTTTTTATTAATTTATTGTAATTAATTATTTGCATGCAATTAAAAACTAATTTTAAACGATGCGAAAGAAGGATAACTTCTCACGCGCCTACATAAGTACACGCACCCATTTTTTTTTTTATAGCTAGGTAGGCAAATGACTCTACCCCACCTGATGTTAAGTGGTGATAAAGTCCAAACGCGAAGATAGCTGGTACAGCAGTTATAAACTGCTACACCGACCATCCTCACCTTACCGACCCAAAAATTCTTCTTCACGCCTCTCTTAAACGACCCCAGATTATAGGAAGGAGGGACGGATACGTGCGCGAGTAAAGAATTCCACTTACGAATAGTACGACAAAGGAATGAGTCACCAAAGGACATTGTTCAGCGTCCATACATAGTTAGCCTAAGAACCAACAATCATAAAATATTATTTTCTAGAGAAAATATAACTAGAAAAAAATAACTAGAAAAAAAATTCCACGCGGACCAGGCAGCAGACGGGACTCGAACCCGCACCCTTCGCAATCCGGGCGAATGCACTGACCAATTATGCTACCGCGGCCCTCACGGACCGCGTCGAAATTCTTTCTAGCTATTCTTAAGCTGCAAGGCAGCGCCATCTCTTCGCATTATAGGTAAACCCACAACATTAATTAAACATCAAGCAGTTACATGCTTTAAAAATAATAAAAATTATAATTATTTTCTAGGTTCAAAATCGTAAGTAAATGACTGTAAAAACAAAGATTATTGACGGACACTTCTAAGAACTTAAATTATTAGGAAAACTAAAACTTTTTTGAGGTTATGTTTAATATTCAATAAACCATAGGTCAACCTATGAATTTAGTATGGACTCTTTATGAAGTGAATTAATATTACTGAATTAATGAATGAATAAAATAAAAACTATTTTTCACATAATTGTATCATATTGTTTATTGTATTTATTTGTATATCACATGTATATTGTGTAAATATGCAGCGTGAATATGTATTAGGTGTTCTTGAATAACTTGGCAGTATGATCCTCTCAGGATGTTGTGGCACAGGTTCACTAGCACTTGATAATAAGGGCTCTGCTCTTTGGTAACATCGATGGCATATTAGATAGCCGAAATAGTTAAATTATAGGAAAAGCAATCGCAAATAAACACACACAACAGGTAATCCGAAACGAGAATGCACTTTCCGGTATATTAGACTACTCTTTTTTTTATATAATTTTTACGGCTTTGGAGTTTCCCATATTGGCCAGTCATTAGTGGTATGTCATCTATATCTTGCCGAAAGTATATATAATGAACTCAAATAGTATTTCGTAACACTCTTGGTTTCTAATGATAGATGGCAAATAATTGGGGATATCGTTATTTTTGTAGGTCTTAAGTAAGCCATCTACTAAACTACTCTTTGGAATGCACGAATGCCACAGATTACTACGAATGCAAACTGCATGCATCACAACCACAGAGTTTTATGCCGGCCCTTCACTTGACAATAGTTTGTCCTTGTCATGCTTAATAAGGAATGAAAAGGACAGACTGATGTCATGTTTTAAAATAGCAAATACGAATAGCCAAGTGAAGTGCCGGCATTAGGAAGAACGAGTGTTTTGTTTGCAGCGCTGCCATAGATTATACACATAAAATGGTATTTATTGTCTCAGATCTTTTTTTGACTTTTTAATTTAGCTTACTTAACTGGAAGTGTCCGTGACAATCTAAATACTGATAATTATCGCAAAAAATATACTAAGAATTTATGATAAATAAATGCCAAATTGGTGTTGGTTCTTAGGCCAATTTAACATTGTCCTTTCTTTGTTCCTATAGGAATAGTGGCCACAGTAAGTCGGTGGCAACGTAGGCCAGCGCGCGTAGTCTTTTCTCACCACAGACCTCATGATGGCAAATATCCTTTAAATCTCGTTTTGACTTTACTTCTATTGCGTCGATATTATAGCAGCAGCAGTAACTTCGTACCCGTTTTATAATCCATAATATAGTAAAAACAGATATCGCATTAACGCGCGGGAAAGCTTCAATCATATAGAACAGACGTAATTTTACGTGGCTGCACTACCTTGTTACTCCGTGCATTACTCTTTCCCCCTTACTAATAAACAGGGAATAAGCTTACGACTAGTAACGCCGTGTTTTGTTCATGTCACTCAAATGCCATTTCTCATTCAATGAACAGAGACAAAACATGGAGTAACTAATCCAAGCGTAGTCTTCGTATATTAATAAGGGAGTTTTAGTATACTAAGAGTGCTATACATAGCACAGAGTGCTATACATAGTAAGCATAACAATATTCAGCTCGGTCAGCAGTACTAACCGTTTTTCACGTGTGCTTATGCAAATCAAGCCAATTGCTGATTCAAATCACCACAACTTGTGTTTAAAATTACCACATCACATTACTTGTGTTGTTGTTTATTCATTATTACAATATATGTTACAAGGCTAATAGTATTCAGCTATCAGTTCATCGTTAGTATGACATATAACACAACATAATATTAACGATGTACTGACTAATTTTATATACTTAAGAAAACATAGAAGTTGACAAACATTTCATCATTATTAGCCTATTTATGTCCCCATCGCTGGTGCACAGGTCTTCTCTATGGATGGAATAAGGAGATTGGGCCATGATCCACAACGCGAATCCAGTGCTAACGATGCAGAAGGGTGCTAACGACTGCAGATGCAGCCAGGACCAACGGCCGCAGGAGCTCGGGATAGTAATTTTTTTGGTCACCCTGCCAATGACCGACTTTAACGATCGCTTCCGAACGTGCTAATCATTTGCGCCATCGAGCTCCTCCATCGATCAACATTTAGATTCAATAAAGTATATAATCAGCGAAAAAAAACAACATCTAACATGCTAATTAAAAATTAAATGACGCGTCTACTTTTTTAAATCGAACCAAATGTATTCAGTTTGTATAATAATTATTAGCAAACAAGTAAGTATAAAACATACCTAATGTAAAACATATTCTTACAGATAAAGTTTATATGTCTTTGTTATCCGTCCGAATAGGTACAAACCAGCATAATTTTCTATCCTGACGAATTACAACGTATCAGAAGAATTATTATATTTTTGTTTTAAGCATTTAACTGCTAGATGTTTAAATGTATAGAAAATTTTACTAGAAAAAAAAACCACCTGATCCAGATTTCAGACGGAATCCTGTCTGAAACCTGAACCGAGTGAAATTTTTCTAGCAAGATTTTCTTGAGATTTATTCGGAAGCAATTATATTTAATCATCGCTCCTCTTAAAAAGTACAACAGTTTTATTTTAGTAACTGAATCTGCTCGATTTTAATAGGTAAAAATATTTTTACTGGAAATAAATTTTCTCAGTTAGGAATTGCACTTCGTATTGCACAGTGCCTTCCGCTATCCGGACAAATGCATCTAGCGAGACCATAAAGCTACGTATTCATTAGGCAACATTTGTGTATAAACCAAGTATAAACACTGTTTATAAGCAGTATTTGACAATGCTGCATCACCTCCATAAACACTCTAGAAATTGTTTATAAACAAAGGTGATGAAACATTGGTTTCAGATACTGAAATTGCTGCAAACCTAAATATGTCTCAAAAGGATATAGAATACAAATATAGAGACTTGCGCTAACAATTTTCTCTGGATAAGAAAAAATATAAAATCATCAAAACCGGGGAAGGGTGTTATTATAATTATGTAAATGACTGTGGTATGATTACCTATTTTCATCATAATTAATATCAATGCATAGCTTCTATTTCAAAGATTGATTGAGCCCAACACCTTCTATTTTTTTTGTAGTACTCTCGTGAAACTGCTCACGTAGTAAACATAAGCACAGAGCAACACTATCTCCTCGGGCAACATCCTAGCAACAACTGACTAGTGAGGACTGCAATGTTTCCGAAACAGTGTTTACGGTAAACTTGTTTATAAACAAGGTGATGAACTTCAGACAGCGTTTATCATAAAATGTTGCCTAATGAATACGCGGCATCATGGTCATGTGAAATTTGCATAGCTGATTTTTTTATTAAAATATTTATTTATGTTAAAAGCATGGCAAATAAGTATATGGCCGCCTGATGATAAGCGTAGCATAGCATATAGACGATTACGTCATCATAGCATATAGACGCTTACGATATAAAAAAATCATTCGCGCAGTTGCCAACCCTGACGAAATCCCCTACCCCGTGTGCCCGTGGAGCCCTGGAACCTTACTCATCGACAGAAACACAACACCACCAAAAAGGAGGTTCGAATGTTATTTATTGATTATGTAAACATTCTTAAGATATTTGTGGAGGCTAAGGACTGTATTTTAATTATTATTAGAGAAAATAAAACAGTGGTGGCAGTGACAAGGTAAAGCAATCTATTTAATGTCAAAGAATAACAAACTCAATAAAAAAAAGTATCAAAAAACTCATAGACAAAACATAGTGATATAAAAGGTGCGCTATCCGGCAAATATTAATAAATGACATTTGAAATAAGTATCTTTCGTTTAGAAAAGGCGCCCTATTATTATCGTTGACGACCGACATTTATTACTCCAAAACAAGTCCTTCCCTCCCCATAATAATAATTATAATATATGGATCGGTAGCTGCTTCTTTCCACTTACAGCTTTTCGATATAAGTGAAACACTAATAATAATGATCCGTTCATGTGTTTTAGAAACTGCTATGGGAATCACAAAGGAAACTCAAGACAACGCTGGCTTCGACTACGCGACGGCTGTGATGAAGTAAAATAAATTTGTTTTATTTTTTAAATAGCAAAATTTTTTACTCCCATCTAATATTCTTCAATAATTTAGTTTTTGGAAAACTGCTATCTCTTATCTGGCATTGCCATTTCCTAGGCTTGTATTCCCAATAAACTCATTGCTAAAATCAGCTTTTAGATTTCAGAGCATAATAATGTTTTTTTTTATAAAAGATGCGAGTGCGTGTGACCACAACCGCATACTGAAATAATGCCTATTTACTCTTGCCAAGAAGGTCCTTATATTACATGTTTCGGGACATACAGAAGCAAAAAGGGAAGCGAATCGTAAGGTGTGCAGGGGAAGTATGTCAACTATGTATGAATGAAGACCCTGTCTACGTCTCGTCGTCCGATTGTAAAAAGTTGCAGACGAAATCAATTGAAATAGTACAACATCCTTAAGCACACTCCCCGAATGTAACCTGTAGAAAACACTCAAACACGCAACCAGGCGAGGTTGTTTGAGATTTTATAGAGTTTCAAGCACGTCTGTCAATAGCTTCCAAGGTTTAAAGCTGGTAGCGAGTGGACAGGTATGTGCGGCATCTGAAACATTTTATATTTATGCAATCGTTTGTTGTGTTTCAGGATGTGTGACATATTACATCAGAGACATTACAAGTTCTGGCTGCGACTCGACTCAATGTTTAAACTCTCCTCATTATACAAGCAACAAGTAAAACTGCTGGGAATTATTCACGGCCTGACTAATAAGGTAAAGTTTTTATAATTTTACATATAGCAACACATTTGCAGTTTTAGTACTGGCACAGTCTTAGCTCACCTTAGCCACCCGACACCTGACCAGTACTCCTCACCCAGTACTGCCTCAACTCGTGCAGTTGATATTCTTTGTATGGAGTTCTATGGAGATGCGCACACTACACCAACTTCGTACCGGCACCACCTCGCCTCGCTCGCACGCGAGAAACGTATCGTACCTTTTTTTCTGTATCTGGAAAGTGAACGTTACGCACCGGAAACATGCACGCACAGGCTCCGTGGGCTCCTCCCTGTCATTTTATCCAGCGTCAAGGCTCGATGAAAAAGCAGGGCCATACCTGGTAAAAATCAGACAATACTCCTGCATCGTCACTCGACATGCACTACGAGGACCAAAGCCCCCTCAGTGCCTGCCAAGAGCGTGGTGGTTGTAGCGGGATCGTGTGTTAGCATTTTACCGCCGCCCCCGCTGGTGATTGTCCGTTGCCGGACCTACCCCAATGTGCGGTTTCCCAACGCATCAGGGGCACCACCCATCGCAGGAACCATGCAATGCGGACTGGTATTCCCTATCCGGGGAGAGTGGAGAGGAGCCGCGGGTGACGGGGGGAGCCGTGGAGCCTCCGAGCGACCTAGCGGTCCCCGTCTGGGGCGCCGACTCCGGCGCCAAAGAAACGTGTCGTACCTACGTGCTCTGCCTCGCTCGCTCGTATAGCGGGCGGGGCGGGCCGCACGGCCTGCGCCCCATTCACCCGTGGCCCATCCCACGCCACGTAAGCTAGTTGAAAGAGAGGACGAGAGGACTGCTGGTTTACTGGAGGTGCTGGTCGGGTGCCGGGTGGGTCAGGTGCGCTATGACCTATATTCTACAATTGGGAAATTTTAATTAAAATTTGATTGAAAATTAAATGAGATTAAAAGGTTACCTAAACATGTTTTACAACAGGTTATTAGAGAGAAAAAGAAAATTTATCTTGAAAACAAAGCCAGAGGTATTATCCCTCCCACTCTCGAAGAACTGACCCGAACGAGAAATTATGATGGTGATATAAATGACACTAAATCCTTGGCCGACACTGTCTTCCAAGGTTACAAAGATGATTTAGATTTCATTGACGAGAATGATGTCGGTAAGAGTCCATTATTACAATTTCTAAAAATGATTTTATTGCACACAACAGTAACGATATAATGGTTATATACTTAATGAGTTGCAATATTTAAATGATGTAATATTTTTTATTACAGGTGAAAAGAAAAGGTTGGCTTTCTTAGATCTTATGCTAGAATCGGCACAAAATAAGACAAGCAATATCACGGACCGCGAAATTAAAGAGCAAGTAGACACCATTATGTTTGAGGTACATATTTTCAGTATTTCTGACCTTATGGGGACTTGTAGGTAGATATTTTCCCCGAAAAATGTCCTTAGGGAAACCAAATTATATAATATCTAAAGGATGATTATGTTTTTTTAATTTCATTTTGGAAAGAATGACCGGTTTCCCTTGTGAAATTCATTGTGGGTTACCTACAATGCGAAGAGATGGCGCTGCCTTGCAGCTTAAGAAAGGCTAGAAAGAATTCGACGCGGCCATCGGGGCCGCGGTAGCATAACGGTCAGTGCATTCGCCCGGATATCGACGGGTTCGAGTCCCGTTTGCTGTCTAGTCCACGTGTATTTTTTTTAGTAATATTTTCTTTAGATTTAAACTTAAACATCCCCCTTCTAAAATACTTATTTAAACTTTAAGAGTCATTGTTTTTATATTTTTTTATGATACATCACACAAAAATACATACAACCCTAAATTTCACCCTTCTACCACCAACCCCTATTTTTTATGGCGGTACGAAGTTCGCTGGGACAGCTAGTATTCCTATATTTTATTCGTAACATCTATTGGGTTACTGATTAGAACTACATGCTTATTTACTTGCAGGGCCATGACACAACTGCAGCAGGGTCCAGTTTCGTCCTCTCGCTTCTTGGAGTTCACCAAGACATCCAGGACAAGGTCTACGACGAGCTGTACGAGATATTCGGAGATTCAGACCGACCAGTCACTTTCGCTGACACATTGAACATGAAGTATTTAGAGAGAGTGATTCTGGAATCGCTTAGATTGTACCCACCAGTGCCAATTATTGCTAGGAAGCTGAAACACAACGTCAAGATTGGTAAAGATTTTCCTCTTTTCACATAAATTAAAGTTATGACATGACTTTAAGAAGACTTAAGTGCATTTTATGCTCTGTTCACAGTGACCAACAACTATGTCCTGCCAGCGGGTACTACGGTGGTAATTGGCACATTCAAGGTTCATCGTAATTCACTTTACTACAAAGACCCAGAAAAGTTCAATCCTGACAATTTCCTGCCAGAAAACACACAGAATCGTCACTATTACAGCTTTATACCATTCAGTGCAGGACCAAGAAGTTGTGTTGGTAAGATGGATTTTGGTGTATTTATACTAACGCTAAAGGAGAAAGGGCAAAAATGTATGGAAGATGTGCCCACCGACCAGGAACGATCAGCTGTGTGTCGTATTTTCGCTGTTGGAAAAAGGTTGTAACCAAAAAAACATAAATAAGAGATTTTTATAGTTTTCATTTACGTACCTATTAACTATTTTCCCACAGCGAATTGAGACTAGCCCTCATTGTAAATAATAAAAGTCGTGAAAAGAACTTTTCGATAACACAAGTGTGGCCGTTATTGATCGGTGGGTACATTTCGCCCGTCTTCCTTTCCAAAAATCCTTGCAGGACGTCACAGCGTCAACGAAACAGAAGTTTATCAAAGTACTTAGCTATGTCCAAGCAAAAAAAATCTCTCTATGATTTTTTTCCGTAGAAAACGGTCGTCGCACTCAGGATTGTCAATTCACTATAATGCTTTTTCTTAATCTATTTACATGTTGTCTTATTCTATTAATAAAGCAACATCACCAGCTACAATCATAATTAAAAATTAACTAAAGTCTCTCAGAATGGCCGTTGGACAGCTCAAATGTTATGTTAATGTTAATTCTAACCTAAATATTCTTCTTCTTGTTTAGGGCGTAAATACGCCATGTTGAAACTGAAGATACTGCTTGCAACAATCTTGAGAAACTACAAAACCATTTCCGTGGTGCCCGAGAACGAATTCATTCTGCAAGCCGATATCATACTGAAAAGGAGCGATGGATTCAGGATCAAAATAGAACCAAGGAAAAGGGTACCATCTACTGCTGCATAAAAACACAAATTAGGAATATCATTATTTTTTCAATTTATTTTATACGCTTCTTAGTCCATAGCTCTCGTACAAAACGGCTTAGCATTTAACTGTCTGAATTTTTATTATGTATTTTTAAAGTAAACACTCTACATTATCTCTGTTTATAAGTAATAACTTTAACAATGGAAGCTTTTTACTTTATCATCGTTAACATATTGTTGAGTAGTCATTAGAAAAAGAAAATATTGAAATCATTCTCAAACACGCAATGAATGCAATAAAAAATGCAAATCTATAAAAGTTAAGTGTGGGTAAGATTGAAAAATTGTATTTTTAACCTACATTAAGTATTGATTTATGGATCTTAATGCATATAATTATAGTAGTGAATACAGCAATAAACACCAGATTGTCTTTGATCTATACATTTTTACATTAAAAGTTCATAGTTTTCATGGACGCAACGCGATGTTTAATTTTTGATAATGCTGAAATGCTGTGGACTGACTGTGTATAGTCAGGTAAGGTGGTCGTATTATGTCATTAGGTTATAAAGCTACATAGCTTTATATTAATTTGTTTTGTATACCGATAGCGATACATTTGAAAGGAAATTACTTAAATACCTTCACGCAGGGTTGGCGTAACGTCATAGATGCGGTGCAGCTTGGTAGTAAAAAATGTAGAATAAAATGTTGAAAGGAAATATAAATGTCAAAAAGCAAGAGTCTCTTTTTTATAAACTTGTCCACTGACAGACTTCAGAGGTAGTTATTACATGAATTTATTTATTAATTAAAAAGAAATATTCAAAGAAGAATTGTTTAACTTGATTTGTGAACATTCAGTTGCTTACCTGTATAACAGACTAATGGAAAATCTTCGAAATTTGAGACTTGAAGCATAGCGGATTTCACTTAGTTATTTACTCTCAAATTGGAGCGCTCATCTGGGGTAAGTAACCAACGTGCAAGATATCGCAATGAAATAACACTACATTTTGGTGGTCTTATTTGTGTCAATAAGTAAGGGTTTGATCATGGGGTCAGTGTAGGTAACGCGCGACTGATACTTTAAGGCATTTGTCCCACCGCGCCGACGAAGAACGAGAAGCGTAAAGAGCTAAAAATAAGCAATGAGTTGACGATGAGCAGGAAGAGAGTGTGCAGTTCCGATAGTAAACGAGTGTGCAAGTACGACGAGAGATTACTCACGCCACTCGCTCGCGGATACAATCTTGATCAAAAACGCATGTGGATGTATGGAGACAAACAAGCATCGCTGAGCCAGTATTACTCAGCGAGTATTACCATTGGTAGCTCTCTTTCGCTTAGCGACAAACTAGTGGAGCGAGTTCTCGCAGGCAGTGTGAACAGTCAGTGATCAACTATTAATATACGCATCTCTTTTGTTTACACGGAATGAATATCTATTGTGCGTTTCTTGAACAAGAAAATAGCTAATAATAAGTCGCTTCCTCGCCGGCGATGGGACAACTGCTTATAGTAGCCGCTTACCAACAGACAGATCCTTATTTAGCACTCTTATTAAACATAATAATAAAGAGATAAGATGATGAAGGAACGAGAGGGGTGGAAGATAATCAATTGACAACGAGGAATTGAATTAAAAGGATAAATAAACTGCACTGACCCCAATTAAATTGAAACCCCAAAAAGAGTAAATTGATATTTGTCGGGTTTATTAACAAGGAAATACATAAGGATCCAGCAGCCAAGTATCTTTCAAATTTTATCTCCTCTTCTATCACAGGGCATCTTTCAGTTAGTCATTAAAAACATTTTACATATGTAGGTAGGTACTTCAAAATTCAATCGAAATTTGTAAACATCTTTGAAGTGAGTAATCGATATTGATATATTTGGGTGGTATGCAATAAGCATATTGGTAAATAATATTCATTAAGACGTGCCTTAGAAGAGGCCTATGTCCGGCATTTAACTGCAATCACCTGATTATGCTCAAATTAGTGAGTATTGTATAAATACTAGATTGGTATATTTGAGACTTACTTATGGAATATAGTATCAAATATCATAGAAATCATCAAAATTATAAAACTTAAACTAATTTATATTTGACCTGTTGGTAAAACTAGGTACAGTCAGTACCGTTATAAAAAATCTTGTGCCTTATAAAGCAATATATTATTATAAAGTATATTGCTATTATTAAAGCAAAGGCGCTATCCATGTCAAATTATTATTCAACCAAATGATTTTCACTGATACAGCAAGGCTACAGCCTTACCTAAAACTTTAATATCTAACAAAATAGGTTTTAATGATATTCTAATATATTTAATGCAATAATGTTTTTACAATACAAATTTAGGGTTCAGTCACATTTGTACTATAAGATCAGTTCGTGTAAAAAACATTAAACTACAACGTATTATTCAAATATCTTTGGTCCTTACATTGAGTACCTGCCTTAAATCAGTACATAGATACTAGATATGTAAAGAACTGAAGAAACTTCATACTTCTAAAACTTATTACTTTTTGATACAATAAGTATTTTAGTACAGTTTTAAAGTAAATAATTAATACATTTTCACTTTCACTTATTAGATTTTCTGTACACAAAGTACTCTATAGTCCACAACACGACACATATGAGGCAACAGAAGCTCATTGCCAAAAAACAGAAGACGTAGCTCCCTGTCGCTTCGTATAGCACACCTGCAAAAGGAAACAGATAAACTACATAGTACACTAGACTTTTCAACAAAAATGCTGTGGTAATTAATTAATTGTCATTATAGCACGTATAAAACATAAATCGCTAGAGATCAGTCTGAATAGCAAAAGAAAATTATCTTTAAGCGAAGAGAGAAGTTACGTAACTTTTAGTTTTACAATTCGGTTATCAGACAAAACACTGACAAACTTTCAAATAAAATAAATATTGTGATCGAACATAAGACAGTGGGATCGTGATAATCAACATCCACTTTGTGGGGGCCTACTCACTGAGGGTTGTCCAGTGCGTGGTAGCCATTCAAACACCTTTCCGCCCCAACGGCCATCGGTTCTTCTCGATATATGTCCTGCCTATTGCCACTTCGATAGAGCAATGCTTTGGCAATATCGGTTACGGATTTCCTCATTTATCATTCTATCGCGTAGGGAAACACCGAGCATCGTTCTCTCTATCGCTCGCTATGTGACCCTGAGTCTTCTTCATCATCAGCCTATTAATGTCCCCACTGCTGGGGCACAGGCCTTGCCTTTGGATGGAATAGGGAGATTGAGCCATGACCCACCACGCGGGCCCAGTGCGGATTGGTGGACGCTAACGACTGCAGATGCAGCCAGGATCAACGGCTTAACGTGCCTTCCGAAGCACGGAGGAACTCGAGATATAAATTTTTGGTCACCCATCCAATCGCAGCCGAACACGCTAACCACTTGCGCCATCGAGCTCCTCTCTTCTCTTCTTATAAGACCCAAAATAAAACCTTAACATTATCTCTTATCTATCAACGGGTCAGTCAGCCATAATCATCAGCGCTCCCGAGAAGAGAATATGCAGCGCCAACGCTGCGGGAACTCTTTAGGCGACACCTTAAAACTGGCGTACATGCTACTCACACCACGAAGATCGTTAACCAAAATTTAATGAACAATTTCTCTGACTAATTTTATCCCTTACCTATTAATGGGTCAGCCATAAGCATTAGCGCTCCCGAGAAGAGAATATGCAGCGCTAAAGCAGCGGGGAACTTGTCCGGCGCCGCCGTCGCCAGCACCAACGGAAATAGGACTTGAACCGAACACCGCACCAGACCAGATACGGCAGTCATCACGAACACGTACCACAACGCACCGGAACTCACCAGAGCTAAAAGACGATAACTTTTGTGAGCATCAAATACTCCTTCTTAAGAAATGAAGGCAATTTGTAGGATGGACACAACTGATTTCGATACCCAGGGTTCCCGCGAGCCCTGGATCGAAAAAGTATGTCGGATGGCTGGTGCTATAGTATTGACTGCGGTAACTGCGGTTCAAGTGGGTAAAGCCCTGCTTGTTTCGCTTTCTGAGCTGAACGAAATTATTGGGGATAAGTCTTCACATATTCTCGTTTCAACCACCGATTGCAAGGTTAAAAACAACTATCACTTTATAGTAATATAGGTTATTTACGGGATTGTTACCATGTACCTCTTTTTAGGGAGTTTCCGATATTACTGTCAGTTTCATTTGTATAGTGCGATTCAAACTTTATGGCGGGTCTGAAGTTAACACCGAGCGCTACCATGTGCAGGTTTCAGTTCAGTGACTTCCCGTGCGCTCCTAAATTATTGTACATTTTGTTAACTACGTGCTACGCCGCGACTTGCACTAACATAGCCGCTATTAAGTTTGAATCGCACTCTACAAAGCATCTCCAATCAAATCACTAGGTATAAAAAGTGAAATCATCATGAATGCTTGCCAAGAACAAAATAAGTGCTTATCCAATTTTTAAAAGTCTCACTGGCAAATTCGTAACCAAGGTATTAAAATTTTTAAAAGGGTTTTAAAAATGTTTAAATCAAAATTTGGAAATGCTCATGATCAAGAACTTACCAATTCGCAACACCACAGTGACACAAGTGCCCGCAAAGAATAACTTTCTGCTGTCCACGACATAGAAATACGTGAAGACAGCTAGTAGCAATCTGGCCACTAGGTCCGCTAGGGCACCAACCATTACACATGTGGCCACTTCGATCTAGAATAAACATTTAACAAATGAAAAATCATTAAAGAATTTTGTTTACATGCTTCTAAAGATTAAAGCCGGCTTTTCGCCATGTTTTTCGTATAATATTCCGAGTTAAGATACAGGTGTAAGCAGTTCCATTAATTATTAGTATGATGAACGATATAGAATATAACTAAAAGTATTGATAGAACATTGATACATGAAATAAGTGAGACATCTCCATATAACAAAGCAACTGCTCTACGTTTTCAGCAGTATAGTGCTTCGATTTAGCTATAAATTCAGAATGAACCCAGTTTCAGATAATGAATAGCACAGTTAAAGAATGGACACGAAGAATTTTGAAGTGAAAACTTCGTTAGTATCGTTGTGACTTGAGTTTCTATGAAACGGAAGTAGAGTATTTGACACAAGGTAGGTAGGTAGGTTCCAAAGTTTTTTATTTAAAGTTGTTGTCTTACTGTGGTCTAATAGCACAACTAAAGAATGGAGATAAAGAATTTAGAAGTGAAAACTTCGTTAGTATCGTTGTGACTTGAGTTTCTATGAAACAAAAGTAGAGTATTTGACACGAGGTAGATAGGTAGGTTCCAAAGTTTAGTTATTAAGACCGCAGTAAGATAACACTTTATTTTGCTGGTGTTGTTTTTCTGTTGCTAAGAAGGGTTACAAGGCTCCGTGGGGTAGGAGATTGGGTGCAAGCCGGCAAGGTGTGGATAGCTGGGGTGGTACAACTTCTGCCGCAACATCAATCTTCGCGACTGGACTCCACTTATATTTAACATCGGGTGTGGTGGGGTTATTTGTTGCGCCACGTATAAGAGCTTACCTTTGAGAACCCGTAGGAGAATAAAAGCATGGGTTCCATAGCCAAATAAGTGACATCCGAGACGAATGCGAAACCCAGACCTACTAGCGTGCTCACGAACCTGGGGTCCTTCAGCAAATCCAACTCGATGTTATCATAAATTATTTTACTGAAAAGTAAAATCATAACTGGCGATGACTTAGTAGATTTAGAGTAAAAGATGTATTTCTTTTCTATAAAATTAGTTGATACATAAAATGGTACAGTAAGCAAAATATTAATTCTCTAATTCACTCTCTCTAGTTAAAGAATACTGCTTGCTGGTGCAGGGTGCACCAAGCGAAATAATATCTCGGCATAGCTAATTTAATGTAGAACACCGTATACATGGCCGTGATCCAAATTTAAGTTGATTAAAAAACCCAAAGGTAAAATAAAAGAATGCGTTTGTTGCCTCAAAACGAGATATAGTAACCTTGTAACCTAATGTTAACGGCTTATTTAAGTAATAGCATTATTTAATAAAAAAATATTAAATTCTTGTTTTAAATCAGAAGGCCTAATATAAATCTCCTACAATAATTCTTGTACTTAATGTGCTTTGAGACTGACAACAATTCGAAAAATCGATAAAACGGACTTCCCCTGATAAATGATTTGAAGACCACCGTGACCGAGTGGTTTGTACGCCGGCTTTCAACTCGTGAGGTCCCACGTTCGAATCCAGTGGAGGCAGAGGTTTGTGTGATGAATACGAGCATTTGTAAACCAGTCATGGATGTTTAATATCTAATATATAAAAATCTCGTGTCGCGGTGTTTGTGGTTAAACTCCTCCGAAACGGCTTTCCCGATTCTCATGAAATTTTGTGTGCATATTGGGTAGGTCTGAGAATCGGACAACATCTATTTTTCATCCCCCTAAATGTAAAGGGTCCACCCCTAAATTTTTTTTTTCAGTTTTAGATATTTTTTTTTTTATGATACAGCATTAGTAAATACATATAACCCTAAACTTTCACCCTTCTAACACCAACCACTATTTTTTCATGGCAGTACGAAGTTCGCTGGGTCAGCTAGTATTTCTATATAAATATACTTATATGTGTCTGTATTCATATATATTCTATCCCTTACCCTAGTATCCCATAACACAAGCCTACAGTGCTTACTTTGGAGCTAGGCTAATTGGTGTGAGTGTTAGAAATATTTATTTATTTATTATTATGATTATAATTATCATCTATATTATTTTTTGCGTCTAGGCACGAAGTACAGAAGTCGGTGCCTCGATAATATCCATTTAACTACCTAATTGCTATAATATATTCAGTTTAGTTTTCATTTGCCGACGATGTAAATAAACGTCATTCTCGCATATTTTTCGTCCTAAGTTTCAAACTAAAACTGTAAAAAGATAGTAAGATCGCTTCGATACAATTTATATTATGCATCTACAAGCCTAATGACATCGACAAAAACAAAAAGGTACCTACTGAGATCAGTTTCAACGGACATAGGAAAGAGTTCTATATTCTGCTTTATCGCACCTCTTTTGAAGGACCTTGAAGTATAAGATTGGATAACTACTACCTAAGTATTAAAAAAAATACTCACATCACACTTTTTTGTAGAGACTCGTGTCGCTTCCCTCTCTCAGCGGTATCTACATCAAACTCCTCTCCTCTATTCCCTGGTAACATTTTTATAACACTTTCATCACAACTATCACGTTTCAACTTTTTCACATGAGATATAGTTAGTTCTGGAACAAAGGTTACAACAAACACACACGTAAACACAAAGCAAAAACAGGTTAATCACAGATGACATGTGAGCACAACATGAAATGTGAAAAGTTTAAAAAATTCAGGGATCTTATTTTGTCCCCAAAGTGAGTTACGCATATGACATAATTCGCGGATTTATATGATTTCAGCTGTGTCGAATGAAGACATTTGCTTCAAAATTAAGTTGCAAGATTCCACCCAAACAAACATACATATTTACATACATACATATATTGCAAGTTAAATAAAAGCTTTTAAAAAAATACAATTCGTTTTATGAAGCACTGACAGAATGTGGGTTCGCCACTACATTTAAACGTAGGACACCGGGCTTTTTTGATTTACGCTCAGTTGTAATCTAGTTGTCTAGCGGACTAAATTCGAAAATATCAATTTAATGTTGCCTTTTCATCCATCTGTTTTCGCATGACCGAGTATCTGTCATTCAAACATTGTTAAATTATTATTGGTGAAATTAGTAGGATTGAAGTTTACGATTCGACAGGCATTATTATCCACTCCATATTTAAAGCCTTTTAATGAACCTGATGAAATTAGTGATAAATGAGTCAACTTAATGTAATGTTTCAAAAATGGTGACAGCTTCAATACTTTGAGTAAGGTTGCGACGGCTGATGATATTTTGTTTATTATTTTCGTTGTAATGACTCTACACCAAGTTATTTCAAATTAATTTGACCAACAAATAATAATTCTTGATTTATTTTACATGAAATCAAAGCAACATTCAACACACCACCTCCAAAAAATATTTAACATGTGAAAATATTTCAATTATATTGCTAGCGATTAGCGACTTAAACAAACACTTTGACTGCATGTTGATACTTCGTCATATTTGTATATACAAATATAAATGTTCAGATTATTCAATTTCAAAATTCAAGTTCAATATCTTTATTAATTTAGGCTATTACAAGCACTGGTGAAAGTCGAAAAGCAACACCATTGGATGGGAAATCTACGGCGGGAGACCTTGTACTGAGGAGAACTGGCAAGAAACTAAGCAAGGGTTCTTTTCTCTCTGACATTTTCACTGAAGGAAGGAACGTTATAGAAAAAGGTAAAAAACTCACCAGTACCCGCATCAGGGTCATCAGATTTGATGAGATGCCATTCCACAGGATGCATCACGAGCATAGCGAAAACAAGATGGAGGTCCACGGCCATAATCAAAATTAGCGTCCACCTAAAGCCGTACTCCGCAAGAAGATACGTCACTAGCATCGGAAATGTTATGGAGGCCATACTGCTCATGGTCTGGTTGGCACTCATCATCGTGGTCCTTTTTTTGGTGAAATAACAATTGAACGCCGTAAAAGACACTGGTATCATGACTCCGAAACCGGCACCTGTAACATATTAACAGAAAAAGCTCAACTAGATTTTTCAAAATATGCCTGTCAATGGGGAGATAAAATCTTAGAATGCTCCAGTTGCTATATTCGTATAGTCCATTATTATAAATTAATAGCTGTCCCAGCGAACTTCGTACCGCTATAAAAAAGGGGTTGGTTGTAGAAGGATGAATATGGGTTGTATGTATTTTTTTATGATGTAAACATCGTAAAAAAAAATAAAAAACAAAAAATTTAGTCCGAAAAAAATTTTAGATTGAACCACCCTTAACATTACGGGAGGTGAAAAATAGATATTTTCCGATTCTCAGACCTACTGAATATGCATATAAAATTTCACGAAAATCGGTCGAGCCGTTTCGGAGTAGTTCAATTACGCACACCGTGATACGAGAATTTTATATATTAGATTATATTATCAATTCTTCTTTGCACTTCCCTGTTTGATTTAATGGCATTTTGATACATCGAGAAATATTCTACAAAATTTCGCTTAGTGCATCTAATCAAAGTTGCAAGTGCAGCTAATGAGGTCTCATCTAATAACAGAGGATATAAAATTTAAGTGATTTAAAAAGTTGAATTACATTCTTATTTTCGAATTTATGCATTTTAAGTAATAATTGATAAGTATAAAATAAATAAATAATATTTATGACCAACTCACCTCTAATTACGCCAAAGGTAAATACTAGCTGGTAAGTCTTTTGTACGAAAATAGTCATGACGTCACCCAATACGAAAAGGCCCGCTCCAACGAGCCCAACTTGCCTGAATGAGTATTTCTTTAAAGCTATACCGCTAAGGAAACCTGAAATTCAGATAGAAATAGTTACATGTAAGAGCTTAAATAATGTTGTAGGACACTGAAAGAATGAAGAACGTGGCGTCGGAAAATAGGGTATTTGACAAGATTTAGAAAACGATCTCACGTTATTGACTAATATTTATGGAGTCCGTAAAAAGTGGATATTCATCATTCTGTTGTGTATTTCAGTAAAAATAACCAAATCAAAAACTCCATTCTCATGTTGCCGCGAAAACGTTTTTCTGGACAATATGGCGTCTTACTAGTGTGTGATGTCACACGACTGTTATTAAAACGTCAAACGATACAATGTAATGTCACTTTAACCGGAAGTTTACTTGCGTATGACGTCATTTTAAGCTCCGCCAATCCCAAGCGTTTTGGGTCACGTGACAATAGATAAGAAAACCATTATCTTTTTCGTTAGTCTTTAGTAAAATTATGAATATTTTTTATGTAAAAATAGTTAAAACCTCTACCAATATTCATTCTAAACACAGATGCAAACAATGGCAATTTATTTTAACACTGTCAAATACCCTATCCCCAAAGAAGACCAATCAAACACTGAGTTCGGCGATAATAAAAGAACATTTGAACTGAAATAAAAAGTGAAAGTCCTCAAACTTTGAAGGGTGCAGATAAGTGGGTGCTAATGCGAACGTCTGTAAATGCAGCCTTAAGTCAAGTTCCTTACTTGAAATAAGATTTTTTTGATCCTATGACCGGTCATTGTAAAAGTTGCTAAACAGTCACAATGGCAGACTGAAACCCCGTTATTGATAAAGAAGGAATAGGCTTAAACTTTCTTACGCCGTGTTTTGTTCATTCAATGACAAAGACAAAACATGGAGTAACTAATCCAAGCTTATTCTTCGTATATTAATAAGGGGGAAAATGTTTACCAGTACTCCTTTTTTTTATTTAGCGAGGTAGGCAAATGACTCTACCCCACCTGATGTTAAGTGGTGATAAAGTCCAAACGCGAAAATAGCTGGTACAGTAGTTATAAACAGCTGCACCAACCATCCTCACCTTGCCGGCCTGCAAAAATGCTTCTTCAGCTTCTGTTTCTCCATATTTTTTTTAATAAATCGGAATAATAATATATGAGATAAAATGTAGGTATCAAATAAACAATCTATCGATGTCAGTCCACAGACATCGTTGCGTAACTACCGACGACCGATCAAATAAAACTGAGGCTGTCGCTTCCGTATTTACGCATATTACGTTACTGAGTTACGGAAGTGAATCGGATTGTGAGGGCAGTGCGGTGTTCATTTCACCCCAAAGACACACGAGACAATACCAGCTCCGGTTACATATCTCGCTGGAGATGAAAATGAAAGCCGACACTAACTATCGCCGAAAAATCAAGTAACAAAAAACATTCAAATGAAAGCCGCCGAATCAAAGGAAATGAAGATTGGTCCGTGATCATAATTTCTGATTATGAATAACGAACGAGGCTCATGACGAACATCTACTTTCGCTGGATAATGCGAAAATAATCATATTTTTAACCAAGTCTAGAAGGGAAATAAAAAAAAAATTACGAGCTGCTATTGAGGAGCTCGATGGCGCAGGTGGTTAGCGCGTTCAGCTGCGATCGTTGAAGTTAAGCAACTTTCGCCGTGGTCGGTCATTGGATGGGTGACCAAAAATCTTCTATATCGAGTTCCTCCGTGCTTCAGAAGGTACGTGAAGCCGTTAGTCCTGGCTGCATCTGCAGTCGTTAGCACTCGCCAATCTGCACTGGGCACGCGTGGTGGGTCATGGCCCAATCTCCCTATTCCATCCATAGGGAAGGCCTTTGCCCCAGCAGTGGGGACATTAATAGGCTGATGATGATGATGATTGTATTTTTGGATATTACTTTTTTAATAACACATAATTGTAACAACTAAGCTGCCTTTTGTAAAACTACCACAGTATTGTATTAGAAATTCCTTCTTATATAATAGATGTTCCTTAGAAGACAGATATAACAATAACACTATATTAAGCTACTTCAAGCTACTTTATATCTATTGAGATCCTCCATTATTTTAGGTACCTAGTAAATCTGAAACCCATTTTGACAATCAGAAAATCTTTATCGATAGATAGAGTTCTCGAGTGAACTAATTAACGAAAGCCGGTCACTGACCCGCTCTCTTTATTCAATCGTGGTTAAGCAGTTTGATGCTAAGCCGCTAAATAATTGAGGGCAGTTCTATCTCTGATATATGAGCTTAACGAGCAAGTGAATTGAAAAATAATTACGTTAGCAACAACAAAGTATCTCATGGTACGAACGGTGGTAGGTCACACCATCGTCATTGGAATTGATTGAGACAATAGGTATGCAACAAATATTGACCATTGACTCCAATCATAAATACGAACAATTAATTCGTATTTATATGAAATATACAAGTTATCACTGCAGTGCATCATAAAACACTAGAGTTTCATGGTACGAACGGCGGTAGGTCACACCACCGGCAATGGAATTGATTGAGACAATAGGTTTACTTACAACAAATATTGATCATTGACTCCATGACTCCAGTCATAAATACGAAATATTTAAAAAAAATGTTTACTAATCTAGTACACTTTATTAAACATAAATAAATAGAGAATGGAAAATATCAAATACATTGCTCTGACCCTACGGCAAGTCTAACGTAGATATTCAAATTGAAGACAACACCCAAAGAAGGCGTCAAGAACTTTGCGAAATAATGCCTGTTTTTATTTTGTTATTTGTTAGTCATACTGATATTGGGTTAATCAAATAAAAAACATAGTAGTAAAGTAGATTGACATTAGGTAAACATATAAATTTAATTCGCCTCACCGTTATTATACCGGTTACATATAACGTTTATAGGTAGGCATGTGACATATTCTGTAAAACGAGATAGATATTTATGGAAATGTTAATAAAATTTCACATAAATTCGGATGTTGTCAGGCCAACAAACTTGATGGAAAGATTTTATACGAGTAGTAGCAGCAAATTTATACCCACTTTACTTTACTGATGTTAAGTAAAATTTAAGTCCAGCTTATACATAGCTGATTGATACATAATATATTGGTGACATTCCAGTTATTCTGACATTACAGGCCTGGAGCCAATCCCCTACCCAGTGACGGCATTGGAATTATGCCTACAGAAATCAAATCTAACACCACCAAAAAGGTGGTTAGTGTTAAGCCAAGTCTAGCTTTGATGATTTTTTTTTTAATTTTTCACATGCTTAGTAGCGCATGGCAATGATTTACCGTTTTATTGCTATTGAGTATTTAAGTTCTTTTCAAATTTTGTTCTTATTTGTTTTTTCTTTCTTTTTTACCCGACTGCGCAATGCAAGAGCGCGAAACCCGACGCGCATACAGGATATTATAGTGTTTAACAGTGTATATATGTATGTATGTTCCTTTGTGGCACACTAGAGACCAAACGCCTGGACCGATTTTGATGATTCATACATCATTCGATTCGTCTCAATCATAGGAGTGCTACTAAATATATGATAGTAATCAAAATTCAATATTGAGAAAATTAGGGGCCATGTTGTGACAAAGTAAAAAAATAAGTTGACGAAATATGTCGAGTGGGGTATCATTGTCTAGATAATTGAAAATTATGTTGAGGTTCCCTACACCATTTTTCATTCTATATGATTGTTTAGGATCTACAACGCTTTAAAGTTGTATATTAACCACTTGTGCTTTTAATTTCAATCTTACGTTTGTATAGATCTTTGTTACTCTTTCACCTAAAAAATACTGAATGGATTTTAATGAAACTTAATAATATATAGCTCATATATAATAATAACTTTTATATAATAATGTATGACTTTATTGAGTGAATTGACCAAAATATAACAATATTAACAAGTGTCACATAAGACGGAAAAAAATCTCCCATCTGCGAGTCATTTTGGCCTGCACTGCAAAAACAATAAAAGTTACATAAATAAAATGTGGAGTGAAAATGTATCTCTTAAATACACACATCAAAAGTGTCTAGGGATCAACATATATTTTTGCAATAACTTTTCTCCTGATTGATATTAATTAAAATTTTCTTTAAGGATTCATCAAATAAAGTGTTTTCGTTTGTCACAGTAACGATAAACCAAGTCACCTTTGCATTAATAAAGAAATTTGCCATTTTCCTAATAAAGGGATTTTTGACATTTGAACCACTAACACAAAAGTTCGAAAAAAAGACTGAAATAACAGTTTTCTCTAAAATTTTATTGGGTAACTTAAACAATTAATAATCCGTATTTCTACCGCGAACACTAACAACACAAGAACATCGGTTTGGCATACTCAAAATGAGTTCATACCACGGAGGAAAAACAAAGGTTCATACAAATCACGCTGTGGAATGGCCGCCCATGTTCGTTGCAACAACAAAAAAAGGTCTTCTTGCGACTGGATACCCTCCATATTCGGCAGAGCTCTTCTCTGTAGCATATCCCATGCATGCTCAATCGGGTTCAAGTCTGGCGACTGAGCAGGCCAGGGCAGGACATTGATGTTAGCTGCGGCGAGAGTCTGTCTTACAACTCTTGCGGTGTGCGGTCGTGCATTATCATGCATTAACTGAAATAAGGGACCGATTTGCACTTGTAGAGGAACGATGACGTCTGATACAATCGTCTCAGCATAAATTTGAGCGTTGAGGTTGCCTCTGATCCAAATCAACTCAGTTCTTCCGCCGATCCAAATACCCGCCCATACCATGATGGTTCCACCACTATAAGGATGGACTTCCTGGCAGGATTTTAATCGCTGTTGGCGTCCAGGGGTTCTCCAGTGTCGTATACGTCTTGTATCCGGTCTCATACCAAAACGAGACTCATCAGAAAAGCACACGAAACGCCATTGTTCTTCTGCCCAATTTCTGTGTTCAAGAGCCCATTGATATCGAATCCTACGATTGTGCATTGCTATAGGTGGTACCCGTAGCGGTCTTCGGGAATGAAGGT